TGCACACCTCGGATCACTTCCTCCTCACTCTTAACCTCAACATGGTTCCTGACACAACACATACCCCTCCACCTACTCTCACCCTCCCGGATATCTGCTATGGTTTCATCTTCACTTCCTTCCCCTAAACTGTTAGCATCTTTTGATGCTAACAGTGCTACTGATGCTTTCTGCCCCACTCTTACATCTTGTTTAGACACCGTCTGCCCCTTGTCTTCCAGGCCAGCCCATACCACGCCCTTGTCCTCCTCCTCCCACTTCTGCATCAACTCTAATAGCTGACGACTTTACCACGTTTTTCATTCATAAAATAAAAAACATCAGTACACAATTTTCCACACCACAATCTCTCAAGCCCATCTTACCAGCAAACATACATTCGTTCACATCCTTCTCTTCACTGGAACTTTGCAATTAATTGCAATTCATCTGATCACTCTTCATAACTTTCTGGAGTATATGCAAATTGCCATCATAAAAACTGAGGCAGCAGACTTTATTAAAATTATTATTTGTGTCATTCTCAAAACGTTTGGCCACAACTGTATACTGGAAGAAAAATATAAACATTCATTTGGAGTCTATATGTATCGCTAAAGGGAACTGATATTCTTCAGAAAAGTTTCCATGCTACTTTTTTTTCCTCGCATCTCCTTTTAAAATAGTAGCCTATAAATACAAAAAATATAAATAAATAAAAGAATATAGATATATGTAAAAGCCTCTCATTGCAAAAACACTTGAATGCATTGTGTTCAACCACGTCTCTGCCTTTCCCACACAGAACAACCTCCTCGACAGCAACCAGTCTGGTTTCAGGAGTGGACATTCAACCGAGACTGCCTTGCTCTCAGTTGTTGAAGTCCTAAGACTGGCAAGAGCGGATTCCAAATCTTCTATACTTATCTTGCTGGATCTCTCTACTGCTTTTGACACGGTTAACCACCAGATCCTCCTGTCAACTCTATTGGCAAAGGGCATCTCAGGAACCGCACTCTAGTGGTTTGAGTCTTATCTGTCAGATAGGTCCTTCAAAGTATCTTGGAGAGGTGAGGTGTTCAAGTCGCAACATTTAACTACTGGGGTGCCTCAGGGCTCAGTTCTTGGACCACTTCTCTTCTCTGTCTACATGGCATCACTCATCGCCCTGAAAACGCCGCTCCTTCACTAATCACCAACGGCGAACACCTGAGCGTGATGGCCAGCGCACCTGGAGCTCATTCAGGACAGCTTTAAAAGCCAGGAGGAAAACCATGCCAGTTGAGTTGCATACTCCCTGGATGAGAGACTAATGGGTGTTTTCTCTCCACTTTTACAGAGACAGACTGAGCCCCTGGCCACTCGCTGCGCTTCACAGATGACCACAGACACTATCACCATTGGGAACCAGAGCACCTTCACAAAACACTGTATTATAATTTCTCTGCTTAAATAAATCATCCTCCAGGGGTTTTGCTGTTAAACTCCATCTACTGTGTCCGTGTTCTCATTCACCCCGCTACAGTTCCCTCCTGGTGGAATGACCTGCCCAACTCCGTCCGAGCAGCTGAGTCCTTAACCATCTTCAAGAATCGGCTAAAAACGCATCTCTTCCATCTTTATTTGACCCTCTAACCATAGCACTCTTTATTCTAATTCTATTCTTAAAAAAAAAACACTTGTCCCTTTTAGACTTGCACTCTATTCATTTACTGCTTATTTTCTTTATAAAAAAAAAAAAAACTAACACTAGCTTTTTAATCTTTTTGTATTCTATCCGTTTTCTTTTAATTTATTAGGATAAAAGCGTCTGCTAAATGACTAAATGTAAATGTTAAAAAAATTAACTAATTAATCACACATTTTTTTCTGAAATGAATCGCTTAAATTAGGTCCTCTCATTGTTGCCTGAAGTCTATAATTATCTCTTTTGTCTTCTTGATGTTGAGAGACAGGTTGTTGTCTGCACACCACTCAGCAAGTCTACACATCTTATCTCTATAGGCAGCCTCACTGTCATTAGAGATAAGCCCCACCACTGTTGTGTCATGAGCGAATTTGATTATTGTGTTAGTGAGGAAAACTGGTGTGCAATCGTGTGTAGAGGGAGTAGAAGAGGGGGCTCAGCACACATCCTTGTGTGCTTCAGTGCTAAGGGTCAGGATTGAGGACACGTATGTGCCTAGTCTCTCAGTCTGAGGAAGCCCTCTATTCACAGACACAGTTGGTTACTAAGGCCCTGGTCCAGCATCTTTGTGACCAGCCTGCTGGGGAAGATGGTGTTAAAAGCAGAGCTATAGTTAACAGAAAGCATACTTGTGTATGTGCCCTTCTGCTGCAGGTATTTCAGTGCAATGTAAAGAGCAGTGTTTTTTGCATCCTCTGTGGATCTATTTGACTTGTATGCATGTTGATGTGGGTCTTAAAGGGTCTTAAAGGGTTAGTTCGCCCAAAAATGAAAATTAGCCCATAAATTACTCACCCTCAAGTGAAATGACTTTCTTCTTTCAGATGAATCCAGTCGGAGTTATATTAAAAATTGTCTTTGATCTTTCAAGCTGTTTCATGGCACTCAGCAGGTGTTGCATGCATCAGTCCAAAAGCAGTTAAATAAAAAGTGCCCATCCATAAAAAAAAGTGTCTCACACGGCTTCGGGGGGTGAACAAAGGCCTTCTGTAGCGAATCGATGCGTTTTTGTAAGAAAAATATCCATATTCAAAACGTAATAATCACTTTAATCTAGCTTGCACTCACTGTTGTACACGGAAGCAGTTCCGGGCGGATGACGTATGAGGTCAGCGCTGCGCATGCGCCGGTGAGTCTCGTGAAAACCAACATTTGTTTACAGGAGCAAAGGAAGCAAAGTTTCCAGTCAAAGGAGAACCAGTCTCCTCTTGGCTTATATCGAAATCCTCCGACATTCTTCTTTACAAATCCGCATTTTGTACTTCTAATTAGTGACCGTTGTTTTGTTTTGAGCTACAAAAAAAAAAAAAAAAGCTGTTGTCGTTCCATCCTGACGGATGACAGTCGTGACAGCTCAGTGGAATCCCGGAAGATAACCCGTGGAACTTTGACCAATGAGAGAACAGTTTACTCGCGCGTGACTTGTATTAACAAATTTGGTCCGTTTAGAAACCTTGCCGTGTGATAGCGAGCCGCACCAAGAATAAAAAGCAACATTGTAATAATTTTAATCCCTGTTTCAGAACAAAGCAATCGATCTACAGGTGTGAAAGCACCCTTACAAAATAAGAAGAGCGGTGGGTCCCTAGGACCAGGAGTAAAAGCCAGTATTCTATAATAAAACAGTTTTGCGCATAATGTTGATTTTGAGGATTTAATACTTTTATCTTGGTTTTGATGTCTGATGTTTTAAGCTATTAAAGTGCCATTAACATGTATTTGTCTTTTTTCACTTTAGACCTGATGGCGCTGAAAGACGAGAGGAAAGAACTTACAAAGATAGAAGAGAAAGATCAATACGAGAAAACTGACTTCATGATTGTGGAAAAATCCATACAGACTGAAACAACTTCATCACGAAAAAAAGTTCAGCAGACCGAATCTAACAGTTACTTCACCTGCCATCAATGTGGAAGGAGGTTCAATCAAAAATATAACCTTAAAAACCACATGAGAATTCATACTGGAGAGAAGCCTTTTACGTGCCAACAGTGTGGAAAGTGTTTTAGACATAAACAAGGCCTTGGTTCCCACATGAAGCATCACACTGGAGAGAAACCTTTCATATGCCAACAGTGTGGAAAGAGATTCTCAAGTAATGAAAACCTTAAATACCACATGAACCATCACACTGGAGAGAAACCTTTCATATGCCAACAGTGTGGAAAGAGCTTCTCACGTAAACAAAACCTTAAATGCCACATGACACGTCACACTGGAGAGAAACCTTTCATTTGCCAGCAGTGTGGAAAGAGCTTCGATCGAAAACAAACCCTTAAAAGCCACATGAAAATTCACACTGGAGAGAAACCCTTCACCTGCCAACAGTGTGGAAAGAGTTTTATATATAAACACAGATTTAATTCCCACATGTTTTGTCACACTGGAGTGAAGCCATTCACATGTGATCAGTGTGGAAAGAGTTTCAGAAAGAAAGAGTCCCTTGATTTCCACACGAAGAGAGAACACCCAGGAGAGAACGGTTTTATATGCCATCGTGTGGAGAGAGTTTCAGTTGTAAAGTAAACCTCAAAACTCATGAGACTTCACACTCCAGAGAAGCCATTGGCATATGATCTGTGTGGAATGAGTTTCAAACATAAAGCAACCCTTGATTAAACCCTTGGAAACTCACACTGGAGAGAGACATCTTTCACGTGCCATGACTGTGGAAAGAGTTTCAGATTTAAAGGAAACCTTAAGGTCCACATGAGAATCCACACTGGAGAGAAAACCCTTCACCTGCACTCACTGTGGAAAGAGTTTGTCATAAAAATAGCCTTCAGATTCACATGAGGCTTCACACTGGAGAGTAAAGAGAAAAGTCATGCAGATGTTAGACCATATTTGTGTTCTTTGTGTGGAAAGCGGTTTAAATGGCTCTGCAGTTTAAAATGGCACCAGAAAATAGGTTATCTGTGAAACTAAAGCTACGTTCTCACCGCAGCTCAATATGGCCCAAATCTGATTGTCCACATTCTTGACCGAATGCATTCTCCAACTCTTTACGAATTTGACTTCTTTGGCTTTTTTATTTATTTTTGTCTTGTACATATGAACTGCTGTGTCTGAGACCATCTGCTTTGTTTTAGTTCAGTTCTCAAATTTTTGGTTAGTCCCAAGACACTTTTGTGAATTTCACAAATGTCAAAATTAAAATTCATTATTAGTGTCATTATTTTCTGCTTTCATAATTGAGTTTCATAACTGATGAACTTTACAATTACCATAAACTGACCTAATAATTATGGTGACGCATTGCTGCCTCAACATATTATTTTTTTCCACTTATTTTATTTTTTGAAAATAAGAAAACTAAAAGAAAAAATAAACGTTATTGTGACTAATTTGTAAAGCGGTACATCAGATGAACTCTTATTCTGTTGTGATGGGATAGCTTAATTCTATTTAAGAAAATCTAGCTTAATTTTCGTTTGCCCGTTTTTCAAACAGAACTAAATATTATTATTAGCCTAAAATCTCTTTAATTATTTTTGTTCGAATTTCAATTTGTCAAACTTCAGTCATTCAAATAAACAAATATTGCAAGCCCAGAGTCGATTATTCAAAAATAACTGTTTTGATCTAATGAGTCATATCCAATGGGTCTGAGTGCAGTTCCCTTTCATGGGAACTTCGAACTGCGTCCTCTAGGGGTCGCTATGGGGAACGCCTCGGATCTTCCGTGCCTCAGCAGCGGCGGGTCCTGGATCGCGGGAAGCAGATGGCTGCCCCTCTTTCCTTGAAAAGAGAGACAAATGAGAGCGGAGCTTTTTTCCTTGGAAAAAACGCTCGCAGTGCACGCCGATTGCCCCCTCGGAGACATCGCGTGCGTGCTCTTTGCCCAAACAAACAACGCATAGATCGTGTGTGTCATCAGATGTTAAACAACGTCAACATGGATGCACACATCCTTAAATGCTTTGCTAGTGCTCGCCATAATGAGATAAAAGAGATCGCTCTTACCACAGAAATACACGCTTCAAACAAAACAGTCAATGAAGACGAAGAAGAGAATGATGTGTGCTCCCGGTGCCTATTTATACTATAGTCGCACCGGTAGTGACGTCATGGCTGTCGCCGGCCAACGAGTTGGTGTTTTTTCAATGTATGCTTCAGACACGGGTCACGACGAGGCGTTCCCCATAGCGACCCCTAGAGGACGCAGTTCGAAGTTCCCATGAAAGGGAACAGTTGTTTTACATTATAATAATATTTCACTATTTTTACTGAATTTATGATCAAATAAATGCAGCCTTGGTGAGCAGAAGAGACTTCTTTCAGAATCATTCAAAAATGTCACTGACCCCAAACCTCCGGCAGAGAATCAAACTCATAAGCGAGTGTGTTTCGTCATCAGATCCAGCAGAGACTGCAGAAACTGGGAGTGACAAACGTCAGCAAGCTGGAATGGAGAGCAGA